GGGGGGGGGGGGCTTGTAAAATTTAAAAAAAAAGTTTTAATAATATTAAATCAATTAAATGTAAAAATAATAAAATAAACATTTTAAAGTCCCTCAACCCCGCGGGCACATGTGTTGTCTCTTAAACACGTGTCAGGTGCGCCTACGTACGGAAACGATGATTGTGCAACACATGTTTGATATCACCACGCACACCAGAGTGAGAGCAATAATTTTAGGGCCAATATTTATGTGTATCTCTAAACTAATGACCTGTAGGGGCTTTTCAAATGTCGTCTATGGACTTTTTGGGGTACTGAATTCTGTCGCAGTTTCACGGATCCACACAATTTTTAACCTGGGCATGTTGGGGAACTATTTACTCGTTGTAACCTCATGTTTTATATTTTACAAAAAAATTGTTTTATATAGTGTTTTGGGGCACTAAATTGAACTTGAGTGCATTTTTCACAAAATGTTTGTTTGATGTCGTGTAAAATAAAAATTTGCAACTGCCACCATTTTATTTTACAGTCCTAGCCAAAAGTTTTGAGAATGACACAAATATTAATTTTAACAAAGTCTGCTGCTTTAGTGTTTTAAGATCTAATTGTCAGGTGTTACTATGGTATACTGAAGTATAATTACATGCATTTCATAAGTGTCAAAGGCTTTTATTGACAATTATATTAAGTTTATGCAAAGAGTCAATATTTGCAGTGTTGACCCTTCTTATTCAAGACCTCTGCAATTCGCCCTGGCATGCTGTCAATCAACTTCTGGGCCACATCCTGACTGATGACAGCCCATTCTTGCATAATCAATGCTTGGAGTCCGTCAGAATTTGTGGGGGGTTTTTTGTTCACCTGCCTCTTGAGGATTGACCACATGTTGTCATGGGATTAAGGTCTGGGGATTTTCCTGGCCGTGGACCCAAAATGTCAATGTTTTGTTCCTCAAGCCACTTAGTTATCACTTTTGCCTTATGGCAAGGTGCTCAATCATGCTGGAAAAGGCATTGCTCATCACCAAATTGTTCTTGAATGGTTGGGAGAAGTTGCTCTTGGAGGCTTGGAGGATGTTTGTGTACCATTCTTTATTCCTGGCTGTCTTCTTAGGCAAAATTGTGAGTGAGCCCACTCCCTTGGCTGAGAAACAGCCCCACACATGAATGGTCTCAGGATGCTTTACTGTTGGCATGACACACATACTACCATCAATAGCGCTTACCCTTTCTTCTCCAAACAAGGTATTTTCTGGATGCCCCAAACAATCAGAAAGGAGATTCATCAGAGAAAATGACTTTACCCCAGTCCTCAGCAGTCCAATCCCTCTAGCTTTTGCAGAATATATATGTCCTTGATGTTTTTCCAGGAGAGAAGTGGCCCTTTTTGACACCAGGCCATCCTCCAAAAGCCTTCGCCTCACTGTGCGTGCAGATGCACTCGCACCTGCCTGCTGCCGTTCCTGAGCAAGCTCTGCACTGGTGGTGCCCTGATCCCGCAGCTGAAACAACTTTTGGAGGTGGTCCTGGCGCTTGCTGGACTTTTTTGGGCTCCCTGAAGCCTTCTTCACAACAGTTGGACCTCTCTTTTTGAAGTTCTTGATGATCCGATAAATGGTTGATTTAGGTGCAATCTTATTAGCAGCAATTGTGACGGACCCCAGTACTCAGGATGAGTATGTCCGCCGCTGTATTCTTCCTTGCTCAGGAGATATTGCAACCCTCTGATGTTTAGCTCCCGGTTTCCCCAGTCACTAGTCGAGACCCGAGTGTAGGGTAAAACAAACTGATTTATTGAGCAACTGTGCAACCTTTTATACAGAAAGTGATCAGATAAAACTATAATCCCATCACATCCCCCTTCCCCTCCCTGGACATTCTGTCTGCACAACACCACAGGGTTCCACCTGCTAAAGAGCTTCAGACAGCCGTAGCAGGAGCCTGGCCAGAATGTCATTGTCCTGAGCTCCGTCAGATTACAAAGGGAGATAATGGGGGGGGGTTGTGCTGACAGTCTTTTCATAACCAGGTTACACAGCATAACACACTTAACTCATAAAACTGATTACCATGCCGTCACAGCAATATCCTTGCCTGTGAATCCCTTTAGGTGCAAAGCAATGATGACTGCATATGTTTCCTTGCAGGTAACCATGGTTAACAGAGGAAGAACAATGATTTCAAGCACCACCCTGCTTTTAAAACTTCCAGTCTGTTATTCTAACTCAATCAGCCTTGTCCCCGTCAACACTGCCACCTGTGTTAACGTGAGAATCACTGACATGATGTCAGCTGGTCCTTTTGTGGCACGGCTGAAATGCAGTGGAAATGTTTTTTTGGGGATTAAGTTAATTTTCATGGCAAAGAGGGACTGATCTGATCACTCTTCATAACACTCTTCATGAGTATATGCAAATTGCCATCATACAAACTGAAGCAGCAGACTTTGTGAAAATTAATATTTGTCATTCTCATAACTTTTGGCCAGGACTTATAAGGTCTTTGCTTTCAGAAAATATATAATGTTTGGGGATTTTAAGTAATTCTCAGGCCTAAAATGTGGATTATAACTAGGGATGGGCTGTATGTTCAAGTTGAACATGAGTTCGACTCGAACATCGCTAACGAACTAGCGATGTTCGAGTCGAATTCATGTGTTCCCTGAACACACGAACTATAAGGATGTTTGCGGTCTGTACGACCGCTCATCATCCCACAGGGCAATACGCCTTGTGAAGCTCTAATTGGGTAAAGGCTTGCACCTGACCACCAATAAGGGCTCAGTACTCTGTTAGAGCCAGGATTGGACAAAGTCATGATGACTGGGCGCATTACCATCAGAATGGTAAGAATGCCTGAACAGACTGAGGGGTTAACTCCGGTTGCCTGTATGGAAAAGTGGATGTTAGAGGCAAGAGGAAAATAACATTTGTCTCCTATGTTTATGATTGAAAGAGCCTATAGAATTCCTGCACACACTCATGTACATGGGGGGTTAATGTAGAAATTGTTTGTGGGTTTGGTTTTAGTTTTTTTTTTTTTGGGGGGGGTTGTCTGCGTTTTGTGTGTGTTACGTTTTTTTTCTTTTCTCTCAAGTGCCAAATTTCTATTTATTGCTTTTTTTCTCTCTCAAGTACCAGATCCCTATGTGTACTGGGGGGGCTATGTTCAATGGTTGGGAATTGTAGTATATGGTAGTATGCTCTGTATATAAGAACTAAATATAAATGGATAAGCAAAAAATATCAATAATATCTTGGAATGTTAGAGGTTTGGGCAAGAAGACAAAGCGCTGTCCGTTACTATCCAACATTATATCTCACAAGCCGTTAATTATTTGTCTCCAGGAAACGCATTTGATGGGAGATAGTGTTTGATGGCTGGGGCGCAGGTTTTTGCAGTATACAGCTCATGCATGGTACTCTGCATCCTCTAGATGCGTATCTATATTAGTCCGTAAAGGTATAGCTTTCTCATGTATACAAGTATTGTGTGATAAAGAGAGTAGATGTGTATTTTTGCATTGTAAAATATATGACGTAGAATATGTGCTGGAAAATATATATATATATATTCCTCCTCCCTATTCTAATGAGGTCCTCCGGAAGCTGTTATTATTTATTAAGGATAAGTTACCTATTTATGTTATTGTGATGGGGGACTGTAATAATTATATGAATATGGCACTAGATAAGTTCCCGGTAAGTAAGCACTTAGACTCCACTAAAAACACTC